AATATCTATTTCACAGGTTTAATGACTTCACTCTATCTCTCTATTTCAGTTCTTTCATCGTTTAAATTACCGAAAAAACTACATTAATCAAAAAATAGTTCTCTACCATCTCAAGTTATAGTGGAAACAATGCAAGGGATAAATTGAGTAGACAAATTTAAATTGTGGAAAGAAAAAAAGAAAGAAAGAAAGAAAAATTATCCCCGCTGACGTCAGAATATCATAAGATATTTATTCATTGAATATTTTTTTATTTTCAAAGAAAAACAATAAAACAAAATAAAAGATTTCAATATCTTTGTAACTACCTTATAGTTTAATGACTAATAGTATGTTTTATTTTTCTTATACAGCCATTTCTAAAGTCGTTGACTACTTAATACTGCATACTAAATGGTGTATTCGAAGARCGAAATGCATTTTGAGCGTTATGTGACATTGTCTAAAGCAAGACAAATAATCATTATTTATTTGTTTTTAGTGCATTTCATCCGAAACAATGTACCAGCTACATATAGAGAACAAGTCGGTGTAAATAGATTTACTTTACAGTTCAAATTAACGTCGACACTCACATTGCACTTGGGTCTTGGAATACACTATTTACTATGCATATTTCGTATTCAACATTTTTTTGATATGAGATGAATGTTTGTTTGTTGTTGTTACCGTAGCTTGTTGCTGCTGTTGTTGTTTCTTTTGTTGGCATTCTCGACTTTCACATCCCCATAATGCCTTGCATTTTTGGGGGGTAACCAATCAAAAAACTGTCCCAAATTGAAAGATTTCTTAATTGAATTTATCCTATACCTGCTTTTATCTGTACAATACTGTTTATCAGTTTATTCCAAGTTATTTTCGCGTGTACAGATCATGAAGAGTTTTGGTCTTACAGAAAATGTATTGACTTACGAATTTTTATTTTTAAATTTACCTTAAACGTCTTCAAGCTTCTATCATTTTCTGTTTTTTACTTCTTCATTTTATCTTTGGATACCAAACAAGGTAGTGTCAACATTGTCTGATCAGCAAAATAAGAGGATTTTTACCCTCTGGTTACCCCCCAAAGACGCAAAGGATTATGGGGATGTGAAAGTCGAGAATTGAAGTGCGTCTGTTTTTTTCCCAAAAAAAGCCCCAAAATGCACTGCGATTCTTACTCGACCCAGACTTCGGAATACACCGAATCGAAATATGGCGACCAATTTGAATAAGTATTGTTCTGCACTGAACAGCGACTGACTAGCCTCGTGTTCACGTGGAAACATGTATAGGAGGCTAGTCAGTCGCTAGTCAGTGCAGAACAATAGTTATTGAAATTGGTCGCCATATTTCGATTCGGTGTATGGTCAATAGCAAAGCGTGTTTTACAGATTGATTTAGCACAACACATCAAAAACAGCGCGAACAAAAGACATTCCTCAGTGATTTAATTACTGGCTATTTTCTCGTCTTCATTCATTCACAATTTATCAGACTGTTTCCTACCTAGTAAGTTTAGAAGCCTCGAAAATAGAACCAATCAGCATGGGCCAGATGTAATGCAAATAACATTTATCACCTATCAATCATTTAATATACAACCAATCGAAAACGTCTTCATAAGGAAGTCTTTTAAATGCAAATTTATAAAGCTAGAAGTGTGTTTTTTTTAAATAATATTTAAAAATTTTTTTTAAACTATAAAATTTAGGTAAAAATTGACGATAAATTAGTATTTAGAGATAACTTTTGTAGTTTATTTTTTAAAGAATGTTTTTGCCACGGTTCGCGATAATAATAAAAAAGATTATGACAATTAACCGTCTGAAGAAAATTCTATACGCGAATTTAAAATGTTGAAATAAAACCAGAGTTGACATTTAAAGGAAAAATGTAGTAACTATAACACTCATGTGTTAAAGTCTCTCTTATTAGAGACACAGAATATTTTTTTGAATTCATTAAACGAAAAATCCATTTTTTGGCTTGGAGATAAGACAATATTGAGTCAACACGATCAATTTTAGATATTTCTTTGACGTCATTTGACGTCATTCGGCCATAGTTGACATATTCGCACCAGCCGATCGCCCCCTTTGCAAACAAAACGGCCGAAAACTTAATAAAGAAAAAAATATAAGCTTTAACAAAAGATAAAAACTGTAATCATTTGTGTTGTATAGTGTTGTTAGATAGACGATTATTAGAGCACACATCCCACACGGATCTACGTACACCAAGTTTATTCAATACATTGAAATTAAATTTATCATGTGCCTTAATTTCGAGAGAAATCCACGTTTCGTCATAGATCTGCATATTTACTTATTTTTCTTTATTTCGTAATCAAGCTTTATTTAATCAGGTAATGATAAGCACGTGATCAGGTAATGATAAGCACGTGATCAGGTAATAATAAGCACATGATCAGGTAATGATAAGCACGTGATCAGGTAATTATAAACACGTGATCAGGTAATGATAAACACGTGGTCAGGTTATGATGTAGTCAGTGTTTTAGGAAATATTACGAAAATTAAAAAATTCTGGAATAAAGTTAAAAAATAGACCCCTTTTAATATGCAGCACTTTGGAATATATGCAGCTCGATATGGGGGACAAAACAATAGATTAGAGATTGGAATTCTTTTGTTTTGTCCCCCAGATCGAGCTGCTTTGACGTCACATGCAAAGCAGCCTATAACGAACCTCAATTTTTCTTCTGGCCCAGTTCATTATGTTTAAGTCACGTCACGCTTTGAGGTTCATTTGACAATGTTTTTCATTTTCTATTGTTTATTTTTGTTTCGAACGCGAAATTTTCCAGTAAACGATTTAAAAAAAAGAAAATTTTTGAAATTTCGTCAACATGGGAAAACTTCCCAAATTTATGTAGACTTAAAAAAATCCTTTGAGAAAATAGGTTTTTAGGAGTTTTGTCTTAAGTTTATAAATTTTGCCGAGACAAAATATTATTAAGTAAGAAATAGTATAATTACTGAGTTTAGAAATTCTCGTTGAAAACAAATAAAAAACATATAAAATTTGAAAACAAAGCCAAGAGCTGCTCCTCTGATTGGATAACTTAGCCCATATATTTTCTTGTATTGCGCAGCGATTGGTCCGCAGTCAAAACCACTCAGAAACCGCCGGAAAAAAACATATCGCATTCTCACTCTGGATCAGTAATAAAACTACAACTTAAAACTTAAAATATTAATAAATAATTGATAACAATTATTATTCATGCTTAAACAGCCAATGACAATAAACGAGACAATCTCTCGAAACTGAATTTGTTAAATTTTTTCTATTAACTCGTTCCTGAGCCCACAAATTTCAAACTTCCACTAAATAATTATTCGATAATTTCTAGTTTTCTTCGTCTCTTTATCTTAATATTTGCAATCTTGATACGGGCGGTTCGGTTTATTTCTTTCAGTTCAAGTTTTGAGTTGAATATTTTTGACAATTTATCAGTTCAACAAACTTGCTTCAATTTTTGGACTGTAAGTGGTTTGAAGTTTCGCTTTTGAAAAAAAAAGATAAATATTTTACGTCTTTTTCATTTCGTTAAGTTATTTCATCCAACGCATTTTAATTTTCAACTTATTCTGAAAAATAGTCCGCTAACTCCACCAGTGTTTGCTAAATATTTTAGAATAGATACTTTATCGAGTTCCTAAGCTTCAAAAACTATCCCTTACCTTAACTGAGAAAGCGGTTCCAACTTCAGTCAATATTCCAAGCTGTAAGAAATTATCGAAGAGAGATTTTACACTTTGCACGCCGTGAGAAACGTTCTCCTCACTTCTGCGTGTAGCTAGCTGGTTGAGTGGTGTGTTGTATGGGGATTAACAGTTGGATTAAACAAGCTTAGCGGGTAAGTGGTCATATTTCTCACAGTAATTGAAAATGAACTATGTTCAACGAACGTAGCCTGTCACCAAGGAACATAAAATACAAAAGCAGGGGGAAAAGTTTGAGTTATCTGAAAGTCATATCAGAATAATGGATATTTCTCATACCTCTTATAAGATGATATTTTAACACCAATATACTTAATCAAGATAGTATTTTGCTAACGTATCATTTACTCGTGGGTTCAATATATTATTTTTATATATTGCATCGTTATTAGTTCAGTCAAATTTGCATATCAATAAAAAAAGTGGTATTTTGCTAAGTGGAACATATTGGCTATGAACAGGTATACTAACACTTGTTATAAGGATCTTGGAACTCACCAATAGGAAAGAGGAAAATAAAGAACAATTATAAACACTGAATTATCTATTACTTATTGATGGGTTGCAAGCATTCCCAAGAGAGTTAAAAGACAAAAACATGGCGGCCATTGTGGTACCGTTTACAATGGATGCTAATGAGAAATCTTTTGTTAAATGGTACCAACATGGCCGCGATGAAGTAACGTGCAATCGAAGAATATATGCTGAACATACTAACCTATGCAATTTCTTACAAAGTTTTTTGTGCAATTTCTTACGTTTTTTTATATGGTATACATCGCTATATAAGAAGAGATATCTTTTGTCTCGATAGATAACAAATATGCAGTGCTAAGCTCAGGGACTGTAGTTAAGAAAGCTTATCTCAGAGATAATATTGCTTTAATAGCATTTGGAAATTAAAGATGCGATTTATGTTCCTTCGAGCAAATCTTTCTCGGTATCTATTTATCACTAATCATCAAAGATACGTATGACATCACTGATGACGTTAAAAGAAGGGAGAGATTGTCACGTGACGTCATAGAGTAGTAATCTTTTTCAAACATTTAAGACAAATTTTTCTAAAAGAAAAATTTTGAGAAACTGTTATATTTCTTTAATTTTCAGATTCCATTTCAAAATCCTAAGTTAAAAGTAGAAAATAAAATAAAATAAAGCAATAAGAAAGTAAATAAAGAAGAGAGTTCGTCGAAATATATTTATTTCAAAATTGAATCGTCGAGACATCTCATGCACTAAGCAAAGTCCTTACGATGCCTCTCCTGCTCTTCGTAAGATTTTTAACCCACATATTTTTTCTCATAAAGAGTGGACTACAGACTCCTCATAAATTTAAATCTATCACTGGAAATATCAAAAATAGAGCTCCTTAGAGATTCATCATTTGACCACGCAATATTGGTCTAACAGGAAATTTTCAAAAACATTTCCATTCAATAATAAGAAGAATAAATGGTATAACCAACTACGAGTATAACAGAATACTATTTTGAACTATACGGACATTATGCTCCGTCATCTTTGCTTTAATAATTTTCGAAACACAGGATAAAAAGAGGTTGAAATTTTTCACTTTTTTTAATCTTAAAGAAAATAAATTTCATTTATTTTTGAAATTATTTTAGTTTGGGACCGAATATTTTTCTTACATGGAAACAAAAAAATGTGTGGTTTATAGAGAACAAATGTAGTGTAAAGCAGTTTCTAGGTTTAATATATTGGTCTAAGAAAATATCGAATGAAGAGAACAAAAAAGCCCATTTTTACGCTCTAATTTCGAGTTATTTCTACCCGGAAACATTGAAGGAGCTTTCAAGAAATCATCGATGGATCGAATGTTATTAAAGACGTTAAATTGATGTTCTATTTATTTTTCAAAGTGGAAAAATTTACTTACCAACAAATAACGTCGACTGAGTATCTTGTGATATAATTTTTCGTTACAGCTTTGAGAACAGAAACCAAAATAATGCCCCGTGAAAATCTAGTTTAACTGAAATGCACCGCTGCAGTTTGCTTCCCACCAAGTCTAATAATTATCGGTCTTGTCTCTTCATATTTGATATCAATTCACACCTTTAAGCATTTGAATTTCAAAAATATTCGCTAACAATGCATGAGCGTTAGCATTTCGCATTCAAAAAGTACTTGATCCTTCGGACAATATGTCGCTTAATTAAAAACGCTAAAGTAATTCTACAACCGGGGAACTTTACGTCGTCTAAGGATAATAAGAAAACATTCCCGACACAAAATTTTGAAGAAAATGGCGATTTCAAAATATCAATTTTCTAAACTCTCGTCTTTAATTTTATACGATTTTGACAAGGGACAAACAGTTAAAGCAAACAAGAACGTTGCGATGTTAATAATAAAGGAATATTGAGAAAATTAAGCGGCAGAACTGCTCGTTAAGATATAAATAACGAGGCTAAGCTGTGGCTGTCTCGTTCGCGTCGAGTGCAATACAGAGTAATTTCATTATTTAACAGCCGCCTTGAGGAAACTCCATATTTTTCGAGTACTTTCGTCATGACAGGTTATTAAGTTCATCGCAACAAAAGTATTCTAATTCAGTGCGAAAAGGAGGGGGGAGGGGGAAGGGGGGAATATCTTAAATTAATCGTAAAAGGCTCACTTATAACCACGGTCAATTTTTTAGTCGGGCTACCTGTGGTAGGCCGACTCTAGGTTTACCTTTTCTATCTTCACGTCGCGAATGTGCCATGAAAACGAGGCAACCACGTGATTAAATGACATCATATTTTCCCCCAATCATTTACCTCAGCACCACTTGCCTTTCATTTACTTTTACATTATATATTAAACAGTGTGGATGAGCTCAGAATACACCTACATTCAATCTATCATTTTTTAACTGCCAAATAAATGTCTATCCATGGATGCTATCATCCACAATACATATACTAGTTATTCTCCCAAATGTAGCCCGACCACACACTCTTTAGAGTGTCTAGTTTTGTTTGGTTACGTAATCGTCATAGATGCAATCTTGGTTGAATTTACAATAGAATTGTCAATGAATTCTTTTGTTGTATCAACAAACATGGCCGCAGTGTTTTTTGTTACCTTACACCCTTGGAATTGATTGAAAACAAGCAATTCAAGAGAGCTGTAACATATCGTAAAGGCGCGATTACGCGGAGTAATTTTCTCTACAACTTGTCTCGCAACAGGCTTGCCGCTACACAAGTTTCAAGAGTGTTTACGCGATGCAACAGACACTCTGCCAAAATTAGAAACGAATTCTACTTGCATAATGACCCCAATCTGTCCGTCTGTCTGTCCGTCTGTCCGTCCATCTCTCCACCCTTTTGTCTGTCCGTCTGAGAAAAACGCCTTCAGCACATGTAAACCATTAAACCAAGTTATTTTATTTTACTTGTTTTCTCCGAGACTATCAAGAAACTGTCAACCAGGATTCAAGAGTTCGCATGGCTAAACACATATACATTTACCCTCTTAGACACAGATACTCAAAAGAGAGGGAAATTAGAGGGGGAGGGGTGGGACAAAAATTAAGTGTTGGACTAAAAAGAAAACTGACGGTTACTAGAGTTTTAGTGAATGGCCAAAAGTAAGAGTAGATTTTCATAATTTTTGCTTCCAGACCCTGCATTCTTAATGATCTCCGCCAAGAAACTAAGGGCTTTCAGAATACCAGATTCAGGTTTTCTGGTTCATGTTTTCCAGATTTCGTTTTTGCGTTAACCAATCAGAAAGTTATAGATTCGTACGACTTTGTTACTTCGCGGGGACTGAAAGAAACCGCGCGGGGTTTGGGACGAGAATAAACAGTTCATGAAAAAACCTTCAACTTTTTGATACATATCTTCACCTAACCCATCCAAGTAGTCTCATGATAAAATATTCATGCTTTTCTCCATCACCAGTCATCGTGCTCCAGAAGCTACGCTCATGTCACTTGTAGAATTTTCACGAGGAGGACTCTGGGAAATAATAAACGAAGAGGTTAGCAACAGATTCATCATTTTCCATACATCGGTTCACTGGTCAAACACAAAGCATTCATTCACCATTCTCCATACATCGGTTCACTGGTCAAACACAAAGCATTCATTCACCATTNTCCATACATCGGTTCACTGGTCAAACACAAAGCATTCATTCACCATTTTCCATATATCGATTCACTGGTCAAACACAAAGCATTCATTCACCATTTTCCATACATCGGTTCACTGGTCAAACACAAAGTGCTCAAGCGAGGCGCCAAGGTACTTTCAAAGAATTATTCAAATTTGAACCTTGCAACCTCGACTGAATGCTTTGTGTTTGACCAGTGAACCGATGTATGGAAAATGGTGAATGAATGCTTTGTGTTTGACCAGTGAACCGATGTATGGAGAATGGTGAATGAATGCTTTGCACAGGCTTAGCCTCGTTTATAAGTCAGCTATTCACAGATACCATTAAAAGTCCGTGGGAATATTTTAAAATATTGGTATTGTTCAATCTGCAAATTCTTTATATTACAGTTGACATTTCTAAATGATTAGCTCTTTAGCTAGGCTAAGCCTGCGCAGATGAATCTTTAGTCACAGAACACTGCGGTAGTTAACACAAATGAGAAACGTACCTTTACAACAATTTGGTTTCGTAAGATAGCAGCACGAAGTACAAGCGCCTTAGTTCGCTTCTTATATTCTTTGCCCATTTCTAAAGCTTTCCCGAATGTTGAACTCCGCTGGTCGACTTCGCGGGCGTAGAGAACCTGTCAATCAAAATGACCATATTTGGTAACTAATGAAACTTATGTCACGCAACCTCCCTTGTTTGGTAATACCTTAAAAAATGACCATATTTGGTGAATGAAACTATACCATAAAACTTAGGTCACGCAACCTGCCATTTTTGATAACTGAGTGGTCCACATAAAAAATAGCCACATTTTGTAAGTGAACTATACAATGAAACTTAGGTCACGCAACCTGCCATGTCTGGTTACTGACAAGATCAAATCTTTTGATTAAGTTGATCAACATGGCGGCTAAGACATGCACAAGGACAAAAGACATGGCCGCCATGTTGGTTGACATGACAAAAGACCCCAAGACTGAATCTTTTGTTCAAGTCATCCAACATGGCGGCTATAAAGTCACATGCACAATAACAAAAGATATGCCCGCCATGTTGGTTGACATGACAAAAGAAACGAAGAACAAATCTTTTTTTTTTCAAGTCACCCAGCATGATGACGGACAAAAGACATTGCCGACATGTCGGCTGTGAGGTCATATCTACCTGGGCACGGTTGTACGAAGCCTGGATAGCGCTATCCGACGGATAAATCTTATCCATTGGATAAATTTATTGGATAACATCATCGACTTATCTACTGGATAAGGATTTATCGGCTGGATAGCGCTATCCAGGCTACGTACAACCGGGCCCTGAAGAAGAGCATTATTAGATTTTTGCGAAGTTTACCTTATTGTGTGAGTCGATCCGCGCATTGATTTGTTCATCAAGAATAAGCTGAGACAGTTCATCTTCAAGTCGAGACACCGAGGTATTAAATGCGCGTGCCATCTTGCTCATATCCGCTGACAAGTAAGGACTGAAGTACTAGAAAGCATTAAGAATCAGTGTCAATAATACAATCAGCGTTACTTATTAATGATAGAATTCTAGTTACAGGAATGTGAAAAATATTTAAGAGCAATAGCTACAGCATTGCGAGACAAATTGCAAGAGGGTTAACACGATGCCACAGAGATGCGATCAGCTCCTCCTTCGTGTTCCAGCCACAGTTTATACAATTCAATTCAATTCGCAATTCAAAGAATACAATAGGTTTCTGATATATAAATGAGAACCCAACGCAATCATTGTCAAAAGTAGAAACAAATTCTACTTTTCTCAACATTTGCTGCCACTTTTCTCTCAACTTTTTTTTCAAATCGTTGTAGGTTACACACTCCAATGCTCCATGCAACTTGTATCGCAATGGTGTTGTGAGACAAGTTGCAGAGAGAATTGCTCCGTGTAATAAGTCATACAAAGAATAAACATAGTCAATCAAGCAAATATAAATGTAAATGTACAAGCCAACGAGAATAGGAAAGAAATCGACATGAGTGAACGTGTGCATGCGCTTATAAAAGAATGCAGAAAAATTTGAAAAATATAATATAGTAAATCCAAGTTTAATCTCTGTATGATATATGATATCATTTTTAGGGGATAGACAAGGGGGGGCATAAAAATAAAGGCGAAACTTAATATATGTACCTGTATAAGGGCTCTCTTTCGAATCTGACTGTACAACGTGTTCACGTGAGGAGCCAAGTAGATATCAAGCATGAAGTTATCCTGGAAAATTGTAAAGCATAGAATAAAATATACCGTAATAACTGGTATGGAGTAATGGTCGCCGTGTTGGAGGATGTAACAAAAGACATGACCACCCTGTTGGATGATATAACATTAATACTTGCAGACATTTTTCGTTATTTCCTACCTTCAATTCATCTAGTAGTTTCAGACAAGTAGCATACTGTGATTCATGAAACTTGTACAACACATCACGCAATTGTGGCTCAAGCTCCAAGAACAACTTGAACGAGCTTTAAAAAGGAAAGTACGCATTAAGTATATAAATAGGAAAACCCAGTGTCCAATCCCAAATAATTTGGACCAAGAATAGGACGTTCGCATGATGGTGTCATTTGACTCCCACTACCATGATATTTGAGAATTTTCTTTTTTATTCAAATTTGTAATCCCTCATGAGAATAAAAAAAAATTGGTGCTATAAATGAACTAAACAAAAGAAAGTGTGCAAGGGAATCTGGTAGTACAGGTCAATGATGCCATAATGCAAATGTCCTATTGTTTACAGGACTCAAACAAGAGTCTGCCCTGCTGTAGGAGGGGTAGGGAGTGTAGTAGCACCTCACCTGCTTGATAGTACTTTCTTTTGCAGCTCCTGTCGGTCAAACGATGCCAGGGCACAAAGTCCTCCATATATTGCAACATTATTAGCAGACAGCAGCTAAAAAAAATTGTTTCCTCACATTCAGTCTCAAAATCTTATGTGAATAAAATTGTGCCCCCCCCCCCCCCCCCCACATTTCACAAGAGATAAGACTGGTAACGATTTTGTGATGCAAAGCATTGTGGGTCAAGATCAGAAAGCTCCGCTATCTTGTGTCCTCACATTGACTCCCACAATCCTATACGAACATCCTTATGCATTTCTTCCCAATCTTCACATGAGGAAGACTGGTAAGTTGCAAAGGATTATGGGGTTAAAAGGTTAGACTTGCTCCAAGTCCACCTCTCTTTTGTCTCCTGAGGAGTTTTTTATTTGAGCGAAAAGAGAATTTGACGAGCGTAGTGAGCTAGCAAAGAAGGGTGACAGACTTTGCGAAAGTCTATTAAAAGGTTTGTGGAAGGCATATTAAAGAAAGCTGTTCCAGGTCACCTACCTCAGGGCAATCTGTGTGATCAAACTGCGCCTGTAAGAAGTAACGTGCTGATGACTTGTACTTTCTAGTTGCAAGTTCTGCTAGACCTGGAAGGTAAGAAAGTCATTACTCAGTCAACAATAGTATTGAGCACGACATGACATGACATGCCCTGATGTATGGCTGCTGTAAGACAATGATAGTTTAAAAATGCTGTACCCTCATGGTAACAGTTCAACAAAGTCAGAGTGCGTCAATTCAATGAAGTCATTAGGACCAATAACAGTGCACATAACCCCTGATCAGCCAATGAATTTGCTTGAAAACAATATAGAAAATAAGAAAATTAAGAAAATAATTAATGAGAAGCTGCATAATTAATATTATAATTATACAGCTTCTCATTAATCCCATATTGGTATCTGTCCAATTATTTTCTTAATTGGACAGGTCTGTTGATATGGGATTAATTAGGCAGCTATATAATTAATAGGTAATGGGATTTCATGCTCCCCAATCAAGAAATAATTAGACTCGAAAAATTCCTCTGACTGCCAAATTAGACTTGGCCTACGGCCTCATCCAATTTTGTCAGTCCTCAGAATTTTCCTCGTCCAATTATTTCTTTATTGGACAGCATGGAGTCCAATTACATCTACTTATTTATCAAGGTATTATAATTCTTAGTGTCAAATTACCTGCTGCACACTTTAGTTTGGTTAAAATATTGGTATTGCGTCCTTTGTCCTTCTAAAACAAAAATAAAACAATATTGATGACAATGATATTATGATGATGGCAATAATGATGTCATGGGTAGAGTAGTGGTTTACTGCTCTCCTCTCACCACTGTGGTTTGGGTTTGAGCCCCGCCTCAGACTAGATCTTATGTGAGGATGGTGATGGTGATGTTGGTGATGATGGTGATGTTGGTGATGATAGTGATGGTGATGATGGTGATGATAGTGATGGTGAAGATGATAGTGGTGATGATGATGGTGATGATAGTGATGGTGATGATGGTGATGATAGTGATGGTGATGATGGTGATGATAGTGATGGTGATGATGGTGATGATGATGGTGATGTTGGTGATGATGGTGATGATGATGGTGATGGAGATGATGATGATGTCCATGATGATGATGATGGTGCTGGTGGTGCTGATGATGATGGATGATAATGGTGGTGATAGCGATGGTGATGATTGTGATGTTGATGGTGATTATTATTATGATGACAATGATGGTGATACATCAAATGATGGCGATGATGATACTGACGATGATGGTAATGACATATATTGATGATGACAATGATGATAAAATTAATGATGGTGATGGAGATGGATGATGATTATAACGATGACAGTAGTGTAAAGGATGCTGGTGATTATAAAGATCTTTTGCTGATGCTAGTGATTTATATCATAATGATGTCAACGGTAATGATGTTGACAATGATAATAATGATGATCTCAAAGATCATGACTGCCTAATAATCATAATAATAACAATAATCATGATTAATAACGAAGATGGCAATCTGTTAGACACACCTCTAATAAGTATACTGAGGAAAATGGTCAAGTACTGTTAGTTTACCTCTGTTAGTTCTGTAGTGTTTTCTGCCTTGTTGACATAATTTAAAACATGTGCCCAGTTACCCATATGAATACTGACCTGAAATAATAAGGAGTGAAGTTTTATTTACAGTAATAATAGGGAAAAGGGGAACAGGGGAGGGGGTACAAAGGAGGAGTACCTATTTCTATTGATAGAAGAACATTGTATAAATCTATGGAAGTATTCCAGAAAACATTTGTGGCATGGAGGACAAGGGAGTGGGGAAACTTTAAGCTTGACATACATTGCTTTAACAGCTTCATTGGGAACTAATATTACGAATACTGTAGCGTTGAATAGAAAAAAACTAATAGTTACCTAGAAAGGAAAGTCACGAATGGGAAACGAGACCCATACAAGGTGACCACCTCATGAAATGTTGAAATAATTAAACATAAAAATATATGCAAAAAATATAACATCGTACGTTAAAATAAAAAATAAGAATGGAAAAATAAGTTCATTAGGATAAAACTAGTGTACTTTATGAGGTTAACCTCTATGACACCATTAATCATGGTTAAATTTGGCCTTTTGCCTCATGGGCTATTGACTCATAGATCATTCAGGCTGCTGTTTTAATTGTTATATACCGGCTTTGTACCATCACATGATGGCAGCCATGACAGGAGAGAGGAACAATTGATTCTGGTCTAATCTGATTTACATGAGAAAGAATTTAGTTTTCCAGGGGAAGAAGGACTTTTTCATTGTGCCTCCTGTCATGGCTGCCATCTTGTGATGGTGCATAGCCTCAATAGCCTATGATCTACATATATGGTCAATAATCTATAGCCTATAGTGTCCAACCTACTTTAATAACATTCCAGCACATGTTGACTACATGTTTAGCACTTGTGCAGTAGTCCCTTGCTCTTGAGTAACATTTTAAAGCATTGCTGAAAGACATTATATAGACAACAGTCAGAGACAGATATTTAAAAAAAGTATTTTGCACAGCTAAGAATGAACCACCATAGAGTTGTTTTGGTAAGAGAGGTGGACTCATTTGCTGTACCCATAAGAATGGTTAACGTATGAATGGGAAACATATGGTACTGACTTACAGCACATACACTGAATGACATGCCGTAACATTGAAATGGCTTCCCTTTAATCCAGATAACATGCTTGAAATCATTGGTAAGGGCATGTGCACTGTTTTATGATTTGTTTTTCACACTTTTCCAAACTTAACTCATATTGACTTACTTGAGGTCTCCACACTCAAAATAATGGTCACCCAAGTCATCATGACCACGCCTGAAACAAAAACAGTTTTTGATTTTATCACTGGGGGTTTTGACATTCAATTTTATAACAACCTCTAGGCTGATCTAAGTCAGGGCGTGGCTAACTGTCACAGATTGAACCCTGAAACAATCTCTGGGCTGATCTAAGTCTGGGCATGGCTAACTCACAGATTGAACCCTGAAACAATCTCTGGGCTGATCTAAGTCTGGGCATGTTTAACTCACAGATCAAACCTGAAACAACCTCTGTTCTGTTCTAAATCAGGGCATGCCTAACTGTCACAGATCAAACCCTGAAACAACCTCTGGGCTGATCTAAGTCAGGGCAC